AGTGGGATCGCTCAACCCCACGCACTGCAGATGTTGAAGAAACTGATGCGGGTGAATCAAGGCACCAAAGCTCATCTCCTCAGCCCCTCCCTCTGCTTTGCAATCCATTCATCCCCCAGCCCCTTTCTCCCCTGGGGTGGCATGTGAGTCATCTCAAGATCTGCACCCCCCCAATTCAACCCCCAGGGCCCTAAACATCCCTGAGTTGGTCTTCCTCCAAAGCTGGGGGTTGGGGGCAGGGAGGCTGAACCCCCGGTGCGGTGCCGAGGTCTGCCTTTGGAAGCCAGGCTGACCCACTCAGGGCTGTAGGGTGGGCTGGGGGGGCTCAGGGCTGGCTGCTGCTGGCTGGATCTCCTGAGCTGGCATCCAGCTTAGGTGGAGTATCCAGACAAACATGGGGGCAGCAGGGACGGAGTTGCTGAAGCTGCTGCCTGGAGCACCTGTGGCTGGTGCTGAGCAGGGGATTTGGAGGGGGCAACTTTCCAGGGAAGTCCCACACAGTGTCTCCCCAGTACCTCACGATCTTCAGTCTGGTAGCTTCTCTCCTCTGCGCTCCTTCACTTGTTCCCTGCAACCTGTACGCCACTACTACCCATCCATCAGCCTTCTTCTCTTGGACTGAGCCTTACCTGAGGATTCTGACTTGGACAGTTGGGTCCCATGGTGATGTCCTTTACTGGGTAAGAAAATATCACCACCAGCCCTGGCTAGGTAGCTCAGTTGGTTAGAGCATCATCTGGATACACCAAGGTTTCAGGTTCTATCCCTGACAGGGCACATACAAGAATCAACCAAGGAATCCATAAATGAATGAAACAACAAATTGATGTTTCTCACTCTAAAATCAGTGAAAATAGCCCTGGTCAGTGTGGCTCAGTTGATTGGGTGTCATCCCATGCACCAAAAGTTTGCCAGTTTGATTCTGGTCAAGGCACAACCCTCCAATCACAGAGGGACACTGAGGCTCAGAGAAGGCAAAATATTTGCCTGAGCTTCTATAGGCTGAGCTGACCTGTGTCTCCCAGGCTCCCTCCTTCCCCACTGTTCCACCCTGCTTCTTGGGACTCTGTTGTTTCCACAGGATCATGAGCTCCCAGAGCACAGGCACATTTGCACCTTCTGTCCCCTCCCTGACATGCATGTCCTGCTCAGAGAAGAAACTCTGGAGGAACCTGCAGACATGTGGGATGTGACTGGCCATAGTTGTCCTTGCACTGTTGTGTTCATGTGGCCTTGACTCCTCAGCAGGCAGTCAGGATCCCCGTACAGTCCAGGAAATCCTGGGCCTCAGCTCCAGGTCCCAGCGAGGAGGCAGGGCAGAGAAAAGATTTCCTTTTCAGTCATCCCCCTGGACCTCCTGCTCTTCTTGCTGCTAGAGGGGTAAGAAGGTCCAGGTGGGCCACTCCATGTACTTGAGGGGAGTTGGGCACGAAGCCTTGGCCTAGGGTCCTACCTCTGTCCCAGGCCTTCTGGTGACAAGCTGTCCTTTAGCAGGTAGCTGTGATTGCTGTGAGAGGCTCTTGGTTGATGTGGGACTATAGACCAGGGAACTGGCAGCTTCTCTCTCTTTCTCTGTGTGTGTGTAATTATTTATATATACATATATATGTGTATGTATATATAGTCTTTCTCTTTTTTTAGGCACCATGAAAAATGGTGGTAGCTGCACTCAGAATAGTCTTCATTCACAGCTTGTTCTGGGAGCCATGTTGCAGGTTTTCCCCAGGCTTGGCCATTGCTGAGTGTAGAGACCGTGGCCTGCTCCCAATCCCTGAAGCAGGAAGGCAGGAGCTAGGAGACCTGGGAAGGGACAGAAGATGTCAAGGGCCAGGTAAATCTCTCAAGTGAAGAATGACTGAGGCCCTCGTCTCCAGTCAGGCCCTCCTTTTTTGTTTTTTGTTATTGTTTTTTGTTTGTGTGTTTTTTGAGCTACAACTCTAGAATTGTTAGCTATCAGAGCTAGAAAAATCCTCAGAAGTCATCCACCC